TGGCTCAGTTCTAGGAGGGAGTGTTCCAAGAGCGTGAAAGCAGAAGTTGCAGAATTTTTATGCCCAGCTTCGGCAGTAAAACAGCACCGCATCTACTACATTCTATTAGTCAAAACAAGTCACAAAGCAGTCCAGACTCAAGAAGGGGTGAAATACTCTCTGCTTCTCAATGATAGGCGTGCCAAAGGGGTTTCGACCCTTTTGGTCTGCCACACCTTCCTTTGGAAAACTGCCTGGTGGCGTTGCCAGTCAGAGCTCTAGCCCCCTGGCCATGGAGATGGACAACTGATCCAGGCCCAGACAACCAAATTTCCCTGTCCACACTCCCATCCCCAAATGCCCCGCCATGATGGTTAGACCAAGAATAGGCATGGGTCCCAAGCTGAGTCACCCAGACTCCTTCCTTGGGATCTAGTACATGGACAATACAAGAAACCATCTCCCCTCTTTCCTGTGGGGTTGGGTAGCTGGGGTGATGTGAGCCTAAAGCTATCTACAGCCCGAGTGCAGCTCCAAGTCACCCATCACAGAAGCTCGATTGCCTAGGGCAACAGGGAAGCAAATATTCTAAGAGGGAGAGAAAGAGAGGGTGGAGGTGGGAGAGAGATACCGAGAGAATGGGGAAGATGAAGAGGAGAATGACTATGATGATGACAATGTCATTTGTTGATGCCTGGAGTCCCCAGACTTCCAGTTAGATAACTGGAAACTAGCAAACAAGCAGTTTTGCTAAACCTATGTTGGGTTAGTTTCTATCACCTGTGATGAAAAGGGTCCGGCTGGGCAGAGTCACTCAGTGAGGTTTAGTTTCTCATCTAGAAAATAGCAGCAACTGTAGCTAGAATACACTGAGCCCTTATTATGGGCCTGGCACTGTGCTTGGAGTGTTACATACATTTCTTCGTTTACTGCTCACAGAAACCCTGGAGGGTAGAGGTCAATCTGTACTGTAGGTACAACAGTACCCATTATACAGGTGAGGAAACTGAAGCTCAGGGAGGTTCAGGTTCAGGCCCTAGTCAATGAGTAAATGGGTACCCATGCTTCTAACTCTTTGAACCACTAAACCTAAGCTATGCCCACTACTCTGCCCTGCCCCAGGTTCGGTATAGAGATCAGCAAGACAAGGCCGGGTTAAAGCGGGAGTCAGCATGACTTTTGGGAAAAGTGTGCCAAAGCCACAAGGCTGTTGTGAGTAAAGGGGGATCCCTTGGTTGCTCTGAACCTTCCATCTTCAAGGCGTCTTCCCAGAATCACTAACTCATAGGCAAAGTGGAGCAGAATCAGGTTATAGATCATTCCAGCATTTGGAAAGAGATCTAACATTTCTTTTCACTTCTCAGCCTAACAAACCCCAGCTTTGAGGATGAGGAGAGGGAATCAACAGAGATCCCCACCTCAGCTGGGGGAAGGTGGGTGGGAACCCACAGGTTCAGTCCAAGCTCTCAGGTCCCCTGCTCCACATTTTGGCTCTCCTGTGGGAGTCTTCCCATCTGTCAACCAGGTGGGGTGTCTAACAAGGGCATAAACATAGCACAGCAGATTAGGGCCTTTTGGGGATTGGCCTGTTTGGCAAACACAGGTCCTCCACCCACATTCTAAATGTTTATTTCAGTACCCAGTAGGGGTCAGCCCAGATGCCAGAGTTGGCAAATGTCTGCACGAGAAGGATAGCCATGCACTTTACTAATATTTACTGAGTGCCTACAACACACCAGACTTAATCAGCAGAGAACCTTTGACGCTGTTTCTGGTACCAGGGGTTTATCCAAAATCTTGTCCCTAGGCTGCCTGCCCTCTGGCCCTAGGCAAGAATTCTGCAGAATTTGATTTGCTTCCTGACCTAAAGGGATCTGAGGCACTAGTGAAATAAATAAATGAGTATACATGCAAACATGCAATGCACCTTTTCTGGTCACATTTGGCTCTGCCCAGGCCTTGCTCAGGCTGTACAGATTGAAGCAGTTTTTAAAAGGACACACGCCCAACCTGAGATCCCAGAGATGCAATGGCTGCTGTAGAACCTCCCTGCCAGATTCTCTCCTGTCCCTGTCTTATGGTCTGGGTTTGGGATATTGCCTCTCACGCTCCAGATCCTCTCGCTGACGTTCAGAATAACATTTAGGGCTCTATCCACTGGAACCTGGACCAATCTTACTTGCCAAGAGATGTTAAAAACCTAGCTCATGGAAGATGTCAGCAGTAAGTGGCCACACATCCTCTCCACAGCTAAGTGATGGAAGTGGGGGCTGGCCTTCTCTTAAGAGCAGGCCAGGTAGAGGAAAGGGCTCTTGATGGGTGTCTTGCCAATGGGTTTCAGTCCTGGGCAAGTTCGCTATGGATTCAATGTAACCAAAGAAAATGACAGCAATATGTTCTTGGGGTGAAAGGGTTATACCCAACTTTATTTCCAGGTGGCAGGTCAGTCACTAAAATCCCGTTCACTCAGAGCAAGTCTGCATGCAGCAAGCCGGTCTCTGCCTCTGGGCCCCTCTGTCCATACAGCCGTCCTCTGGGCCTCTGTCCTTGGCGCTGCCACCACTCCAGCCTCTGCTGTGCGCTCCTGCAGCCTTGCAGCCCTGCCACCATGTCATGCCCAGAGCACTGGGGGAGCTCTTTTTATAGAGTCAACAGCCATGTATTGCCCACAGGTGTGCAATGAGCTACTCAACCAGGGCCAGGTGAGAATCTTGGCCACAGGAACTCTCATTTTATCCACAATGGGCAATCTGGGAAAGGAGCTTTCGGACTTACTCTGCTCCCATATCTGCGTGGCTGTGAATGTCCGGTCCAGCCCCTGCTGCCTGCCACAACCAGGCACAGTCCTGTCTAGTCCACCTGATAGGACAGCTGAAGCTTCTTCCCCTCTAGCAAGCAGTCTCTGGATTATCCAAGTGTCTGCAGTTGAGACCATCGGCTGTTAAGTTGTAATCTGCTAGACTCAGTGTGGCTGGTCTAGGAATTGGGCCTCCTGGCTAGCCCAGTGTCCTGCCTCCCACAGGACTGGGTCCCTGCCCCTCCCCTCTCTCTGTCTTACCCAGAGATGACTGGGATGCTGGCCCTCTTCTGGATCCTGGTGGCCCTTCTGCTAGAGCTGGACTCTGCTTTCAGGCTTTCCCATATCTCCCAGGACATGCTTAAAAAGTGAAGATGGTCTCCTAGCCTGCAATGAGCTCAAACACTGCCCAGAAGTCTGGAGACCACTCCTCACCCCAAACCTGCCCCTTTAGACCAGCTTCCTTAAAAACCAAGTCTGAACTTGAGCTTGCCCCATGTTCTTGAACATATGATCAGAAAGATCACAGCCATCTTCACTCTCCTCAAAGACCCAGTCCTGCCTTAGAGGGTTTCCCTGAGCCCTGATCAGCAGGGCAGGACCCCACTCAGTCCCTCAGTCTCACTCCACAACTCCCACCAAACCCCCACCTGCTCCCAGCTAGGGGTGGGTCACTTGTGCCAGTCAGGAAGGGGCTTCAAACCTCAGGGGTCTCCTCCACTTGCATGCCCTGGTACTTGTACTCAAAAGCCCCTGCATCGTCTTTGGGGTGGGAAGTGGGGCAAGCCAGGAGTGAGGACATGCGGATAAGGGGGTAGGGCTGGTGGCTGGCAGACAGAATGTGCCAAGTTAACATTGAGCGTGGGTTTGTTGAATAGCAATGTTGGGTAGATGTACCAGGGAGGGAAGAAGCTCAAGTGGAGGTGGAAAGCAGCCATAGGAGGGCTGCACCTGGACCTGGAGTGGCTTCCTGGGAGGAGGGCGGCACCCACGGAGAAGAGCTGTGGCAGGGACCTGAGCACCCCGGCTCGCTCTGCCCACCAAAGCAGGGCTTACTGGGGTCTGGCTTACCGGGGAGCTTTTTCAAGTGTGCAGTAGTGTTAGGGCCCCAAGGAGTGAGGTTGGGCCTAGCAGTGATGGAGCATCTCCTTCATTCCGAGTGGGGCCCTCACCTCCCCCACTTTTCAGACCTTTGTGAAATGCTGAAATACAACCCTGCTTCCAACTCCCTTGGCCTAAGCTTTTGCCTCTCCAAGGTGTCAGAGGGAGACATCCCTGAAGGCCCTGTAGAGGGTCTTTCTCTCCTGCATCAAGGACCACACCACTGGCCTGCTGTGCGCTGCCCTGAGGTGCCCCTGCTGGGGCCCTGCCCTCACATCGGCAGGGAGCCTAGAGACTCTACTGGCCCCTGAAGGCACTTCTGGGCCTAGAACTCTGTGAGGACTGCCTGAGCTGCCTGCCACCTCCCACTACATCCTTGACTTTATTGCCCCAGCCTGTTTCCCTCCTGAAGGCTCATTCATCACCCAATCACTCAACCAACGCAGCACATAGATTCTAACTACCTGCTGGGGCTACAACAGTGTACACGTCACATAAGGTCCTGGCCCTCAAGTAGCTTGGACTAATTTGGAGCCAGTAAGTAAACCAATAAAAGCATGAAAGTTATACACTCTGCGGAGAAGGGGAAAGGGGTGCTCTGGGATCCCCTAGCCGGGGCCTGCATTAGCTTCCTAGGCTGCCGTAACCAGTGACCACAGTCAGAGGGGTGAAACCAACAGAAGTTTACTGTCTCATAGTTCTGGAGGCCAGAAGCCCCAAATCAAGGTGCTGGCAG